GTTGTATTTTACCTTGCTTTTTTACTTGGAGGTTAACCAACATGGAGAGGAGGGAAATCCTCCTCTCCATGCTTTCTGCTCTCTGCTCCATTCACGGTAAGGAAGTCTGAGGAGCTTATTTTGGAAATCTCACAAGAAAGATCTATCATTTTTTTTCTTTTAAGGCCACCAGATTGTGGCTGCATGTTCTAAGACGTAAACGGGCTCTATGGGGGGTGGCTACCGCGCTGCTGAAAGGCCGCTTGATCCTACAGCTTCGCTTCAGAGCCGGGAATCCTATCTTCTCAAGGCGACCCTGAACACGATTCTCCTCAACTGCTGCTGGAAGCAAGATGGTGCTGGCAGCCGCTCTCTGGCTCCAGCCAGCGACTCCGACGGCTTCTCTGAGCCCGCTTTCTGCAGGAAACTCCCCAGGGTCTCAGCCACAATCTCCTGAGGCTTCTTCACCACTCTCCAGGAGCCCTGCTAATCTAAGCCCCGTCTGACAGTCAGAATCAGAGGTGAACACAGGCCACAACTCCCAGGATGACAGCAACTTCTTCCCCACCAGCAACCAACCCATCTCCAATAGAACCCTAAAGGACATGCTTGTCTTGCTGTGCAGTTTTCTGCATAACGATATAATGACATGCATGTAAAATTTTAAAGCTGAAGTGAATGAGTTGGGAGGGAGAGTGTATCATATAGAGCAGATGATGGGTGAATTTGCATCCACATACATTACATTAGTGGATGTACACAATGAACAGGATGATGAGGTAACATGGCTAAAGGCTAAGTTGGAGGACGGGTCAGGCAGAAACAATGTGAAGATTCGTGGGATTTATGAGACTATTCAACCAGCACAGCTACAGCAACATGCACATGATCTTATGAGAACTGTACTGCCTTTATTTCTGAATCCGAGCTGGTGATGGATAGAATTCATCATTTATCTAAACCAACATATCTCCCTGACAACATCCCTAGAGATGTTCTCATGAGTATTTCTACCACCTCAAGGAGCAATTCATGTTAGCCTATCAGAAATCCACGCAGATGCCTGAGAAATATGCGGCCATCCAACTCTATGCAGATTTCTCAAAATATACGATGCAGAAATATACAGTAAAGGAAATAAGTATTTGATCCCCTGCTGATTTTGAATGTTTGCCCACTCGCAAAGATATGATCAGTCTAAAAATCGAATGGTAGGTGTATTGTAACACTGAGAGACCAGAATAGTAATGGCATGCAATGCCAAGCTCTGGTTTCTAAAGCGAGCAAAATCCTTTCTTGTATTAAGAGGTATAGACTCAAGAGAGAGAGATATCATTCTACCTAGGGATGCACTGAAATTCCGGTGGCCGAAAACACTTCTTTCGGCTGTCAGCTGAAATGAAAAAAAGCACTGATACTGGTGCCAAAAAACCCCGGCCCTCAAAGCCACTCGGTCGCCTCTCGGTAGTTCAGTCTTACCTAAGAAACCATTGATCCCAGTGTTTGGCATAAAGATGAATGAAAGATGAGTGAAAGAAAGATGGCTGCCACACATCTCTATGCCCTTGGAGGACCGGAGCGGTTCTGGACTTTTTTTTAAATTTATCTTAAAGCACTAGATCAGCGCCCTTTTTTTTTTTTTTTTTTTTTTTTATCTAATGCTTTACATTGCAGAGAAGAGATGTGGGGTCTTATTTACCCCATATCTCCCCACAAAGAGTACCTGTCACTAATTATTTCAATCGCAAGGGATTCATGCATTCCTTTATGTTAGGAATAAAAGTGATTACAATTTTTTTAAATATTTTTTTTTTTTTTAAAGTTTAACCGCCTCCTGCCCGCTATATAGTACAATGACGGGCGCAAGGCGGTTCTCTCGTTCTGGGAGGACGTCCTATGACATCCTCCCATTCTAACTGTGCATGCGTGGCTCCAGGATCATGCAGCGCGGCGATCGGTAGTGCGCTGTGTCCCTTGGACACAATGGATCACCGATCAACGGAAAGAGCTGAAGATGACAGCTCGAGAGCAGAGGAGAGCTGGTAATCAACATCCCTCAGAGGGGACATGTGCACTGATCATCAGTGTCCATCAGTGCCAGCTGTCAGTGCTCATCCATGCCACCTATCAGTGCACATCAATGCCTCATATCATGCCCATCTGAGCTGCCTTTCAGTGCCACCTATCGGTGCCCGTCAGTGCTGCCTGTCAGTGCCACCTAACAGTGCCAATCAGTGCCATATATGAGTGCTGCCTTTCAGTGCCCATCAGTGCCACCTACCAGTGCCTCCTCATCAGTGGCCATCAGTGCCACCTATCCGTGTCCATTGTCTTGGAAATTCGCTTTCAACGAATTTCTCCTTACCGTGAGTGTCCGCAGTTGGATGCGCAGCAATCCCCCATAAAGCTGTGCGAACTTCGCTTACCGCGACTGCAGCTAAACTCCACGATTCCTGCGCCTCCAACTGGTTTAGCTCTGTTGATATGTGGGGAAAATGGAGCTCCCGTGACCCAGGAATAATCAGATGACACTCTCAGGTTGGAGGTTGAATTCACTCTGTCCGGCTCTAACCCCGGACTCCTGTTTTATTAAAAGCACACACACGCCCCCCCCACAAGGGGGGTCAGGTCAATCCCCTCTCACAGAACAATGTATAGGGGTTTCCATACATGAGAATGTACATCCTGTTTGAAGTGTAGCATTTCCTCTTCTCTATACTGAAAACCAATTAAACCAGTCCTCCCCTCCCCCATAAGCTCTCTGTGGAGAGCAAGCTTCCCATCCTTTACATGCTATCAGCTCCTAGTAGTATGTTCACTCTCTGTACAAGCATCCCTTAGATTAAACAGTGCCAGTCTGTATCTGAATGGGCCCGATACGATCTTTATTAAAACACATCCAACCAGATACAGTTCAGGTCGGTAGGGCTTGTAAGATATACATGAGCCTACATGCAGAGTTCGCACTGCCCGGCTCCTGCCCATATGAAGTCCATGTGGTACTATGCTGCTGATATGTGAATACAGGCCCACGGCCTACCACCGGCGGCATTTGCATCGAATGCCGTGGTGGCATACACACCGGTCTATAAGCGCAGATCTGCCATCTCATCCATTACTGAGCTGAGTACTGTAATATATACATTGTAAATGCGCATGGCCTAATTGCAGCCTTCAGAGCTTTAATTAAGCCACACGAGAGACATATGAATAACACTAATATATGACACATTTAAAGTTCAACCTGTAATACAAAATTTCCATGACACCATCAGTGCAGCCTATCAGTGCCCATCACTGCAGCCTCATTAGCGCACATCAGTGAAGGAGAAAAATCACTTATTTACAAAATTTTATAACAAAAACTAAGAAAAAAAACGTTTTTTTTTTCAACATTTTCAGTGGTTTTTGGTTTGTTTAAGAAAAAATAAAAAACCCAGAGGTGATTAAATACCACCAAAATAAAGCTCTATCTGTCACAAAAAAATGATAAAAATTTCATATGGGTACAGTGTTGCATGACCACGCAATTGTCATTCAAAGTGCAACAGCGCTGAAAGCTGGAAATTGGCCTGGGCAGGAAGGGGGTATAAGTGCCCTGTAGGCTAGTGGTTAAAGTGCTCCCATCCCCCTGTGCTTGCACATAGTGGTGAACGCATATGTAGGCCATGCCCACATATGTAAATGGTGTTCAAACCACACACAATGTGAGGTATCTCCATGAACATCGGAGCAAGAGCAATAATTATCACACTAGACCTCCTCTGTAACTTTACACTGCTGACCTGTAGAAATTTTTAAGTACCGCAGTTTCACCCCATTCCACGAGCATGCGCAATTTTACAGCGTGAATGTTGGGTATTTACTCGCCGTAACATCCTCTTACATATTTTACAAAACATTTGGGGTATATATTGTTTGTTTGTTTTGCTTTTTTTTTTTAAAGTGTATTTGTTTCCAAAAAATATTCATTTAGAATTTTCGGGTTCGGCACCCGAATTTTCATTCTGGTGCACCACTAATTCTACTCCTCTACAAATCATTAGTAACACCTCATCTGGAATATGCAGTTCAGTTTTGGGCACCAATTCACAAAAAGAACATTGGGGAACTGGAGAAAGTACAGAGAAGGGCAACCAAACTGATAAGAAGCATGGAGGAACTCAGCTATGAGGAAAGATTAGAGGAACTGAATTTATTCTTTCTTGAGAAGAGGAGATTAAGGGGGGATTTGATCAACATGTATAAATACATCAGTGGTTCATATAGTGAACTCGGTGTAGAGCTATTCACCCTGAGGTCATCACAGAGCACAAGGGGTCACTCTTTATGTCTGGAGGAAAAGAAATTTAATCTCCAAATACGGAAAGGTTTCTTCACAGTGAGAGCTGTGAAAATGTGGAACAGACTCCCTCAAGAGTTGGTTCTGGCCAGCTCAGTGGATTGCTTCAAAAAAGGCCTGGATTGTTTCTTGGATATCCAGAATATAACTGGATACTAACATTTATAGGTAAAGTTCCAATCCAGGGAATATCAGGAAGGAATTTTTTTACCATGCAGGAGCAATTTGATTCATGCTTTTGCTGGGTTTTTTGCCTTCCTCTGGATCAACTGAGGGTGTAGGATTATAAGCTCTGTATACCCGTTTTGATACCAGACTGTACCATATACCATCCATTTCCTTTGAACCATTCCTGTCAGATCCATTGTTCAATGTTTGTTGAATGTTTGACACTTGCTATTTTCTTTGTCTGAATTATGATTTTCAGATTTCATTTCAGACCTACTCTTTTGTATGCCCTTTATTGACTCTTTATTCTTGCTATTTTGTACTCCATTTATACTATTCTATTTTTTGAAAATAATAAAAATAATGGAGGAAAACTGGTTCTATAATTGCAAACCATTTTACAATACATATATTTGAGGCCCATGTAATTATTAACATACTGTATTTAAACATGCTAGAAGTCTGGAAGTAATGGCACATACTGTAAAAGTGTGCTGTTTTTGATTTACAGAATGTGACGCCAGACCCAAGCACATGTTGTGGTCCTTATAAGCCTTTGAAAGGATTTAAAAATGATAAACCACCTTCTCTTCAGAAAGCAGTTGATGTGCACAGCCATGATACTATTGGTAAGAAAGTTGTGGAGGTCCATCAAATATTAACATGTTTATTAATTATCTATGGTATATCTATATTTAAACTTTTTTTTTTTTCTTTTTTTGAGGAATGATTGCTGTGGACAAACAAGGAAATGTTGCAACAGGAACTTCAACCAATGGAGCATCTCACAAAATTCCTGGGTGAGTGATTGACGACATTTCAGTAGTCCTACCCAACGCAGGCGCAGTTAACCACTTTACCCCCTTTCCTGACCAGGCTTTTTTTTTTTTTTTTTTTCTGCACTACAGTGCTGTTACTTTAACTGACATGCAACGCTGCACCCAAATTAAATTTATGTCTTTTTTTTTTTTTTTTTTTTTTCCCACGAATAGAGCTTTCTTTCAGTGGTATTAGATCACCTGTGCGTTTTTTTTTTTTTTTTCTTTTAACTATAGTAAAAAAAAAACTGACAATTTTGAGAAACAACAATTTTGACTTTTTGCTATGTAACATGTCCAGTAGAAAAAAAATTTAAAAAATCAAATTTTGTCATAAATTTAGGCCAAAATGTATTCTGCTACGTCTTTGCTAAAAAAAAAAAAAAATATATATATATATATATATATATATATATATATATATATATATATATATATATATATATATATACACTGGGATTTTGTTTTTCTTTATACTAGTATTGGCGGCGATCAGTGACTTATAGCGGGACTGTGGCGGGCATTCTGACACTGAGGGGAACTGACTTGGTGTCACTAACATCCCCAATGACACCAATACAGTGATCAGTGGTAATAAAAAACACTGATACTGTACTAATGGCAATGGGCAGGAAGGGATTAACATGTGGGGCAATCAAAGGGTTAGCTGTGTGTGGTTTTACTAGGGGCTGGGTCTGTGAGCTTCACTGTAAGCACACTGTTTTGCATAGCGAATGGCCATGCATGTAGGGAGTGCGTGCCCCCTACCCGGAAATGCAAAATCGTGTGTGTGTGTGTGCGCATTCATGATTTTGCACACCCGTGATGCCCTGTAGCAATACTTCTACTATAGGGTGGACGGGAAGCAGTTAAAGTATATGTAAGCCCTAACCTTGTAAAACAACCCATTCAGCTTAAAATAGATTAAAGGCAAAAATATATATTTGTTTTATAGATCTAAAAAAATAACTACTTCTTCTTTTTTTTTTTTTTTTTTTTATGACAAAAAAAGATCACATACCCTCTAAGCTCCTTATGCAGCTGAGAACAGATCTGGGGGAGCAGAAACGGCACTATAGAGAACTTACCAGTAAAAGGCTGTGCAGGTGGGGGTGTCAGGACAAGTCTGATGATTGGAGGAGAGCACACAGAGTTCCCAGCACAGCTCTCATGCCTAGTGTAGTCTGTTTTTAATAGGAAGAGGGACTGGCAGGAACATCAGGGATTTCACACAAAGGAAGCAATACAAAGAGAACTGGAGACATTTTCATACAAGTACATGGAACAGCAGGCACATGCCCGCAAAAATAAATTAAAATCCAGGTGAACATTTTCCAGCAGGTGCTAAACAGGATTGAATAGCCCAGTGTTTAAAGCAGAACTCCTGGCAATCTGCTAAATATATGATTTAAAATATATAAATGTTTTCTTTTTTATTCACTACCAGTGGTTTTCCGAATTATTATTTATTTTTTTATATAACCAACCTTCTAATTTGCCAGATTTTTCATTTCATTGTTCATCCTTGAAATCCACTCTATTTTATGATACAATTTTACTAATTCCTTGTTCAGTTTTGTTGCTCCTCCACCGTCAAGGAGGTGATGATGCTGATTTATAGGTCAACTAGAGGCAGAGCAGTGATATCATGAAGTTGCTGAACTAGGAAATAACTATGCCACCTACCAAGCTGTGCTGGTGTCCTAAAATCATAAGGCGATAAGACATTCTGTACAAAACCGAAAATCATTTGGCAGGTAAAACAGAATATAAATTGGTTGAAAGGGAAGGAAAATACTAAATCTTGAGCTGTCAGCAGAACATGAATAAAGCAAAAATCCTACAATAAGGCTACTTGTTGTGGTGAAAACTGTGTCTAAAAGGATATTTCCCAACCCCCCTCCCCATTTGGAAATATTTCCTCACTTCTAGGAGACAGGAAATCTTTCAGTAGGAAAACTGATGGCAAGTGAACACCTGAGAGCAATTTCAATTATTCCCTACTCTGAATTTGAATCTTACAAAGGTTTTGGATTTAGGTTTACTTTAGGTATTGAACATGAATCGATTTTATCACCTGGAATTGATTTTTACCTCCTCTCCGTAGATACATCATGGAATCTCACATTTATAGCCAGTGAGAGCTAGCTATATTTTAAAGAGTAACACCACAGGGATTTACTAAAGCTTGAACACTCAGAATCTGGCTACCATGCACAGCTGCACCATTGAGCTTTAGCCTGCGGTCAAATCGGGTGCGATTTGGCATGCGATTTGCATGCCAGGTAACTTGCAAATCGTACGCCAAGTTGCACCCAATTGTCCACAATTACAGCGGTCAAATCGGTGCAGTTCCAACTTGGTTTGAGCTGCACCGATTTCTAAAGTAGTAGACGCACTACTTTTGGTGTGATTTGCATAGACATCTGTATCAGATGTCTTGCAAATCGCGTCCTGATATCGGTGGGTCCCCTGACTTTGAAATCATGCAACTTCACTGTAAGTCGCACGATTTCAAACTCTGGCTTGATGTGAACGGGGGCTTAAGCTTTCAGCTTGTTCAATTACGTTTTGACAATAAAATCTGGTAAATTTCCCCACATCTGTAATTAATCGGTGTAAATTGTCACTAAATTCTAACCAAAATGTCTGTCTGAATTGTTTTGTCCGCTCTTATGGACAGCTACACATGTTTTCCATTTGCAGTATGTTGAAATTAATTTCCAAAGATGTCCAGGGATGGTTTGGTTTTTAAATGACAAATACATTTGTGCCAATTTTAGACGTGTGGGTGATTCACCAATCATTGGAGCAGGATCCTACGCAGACAGTTCAGTGGGAGGAGCAGCTGCTACAGGAGATGGAGATACCATGATGAGATTTTTACCAAGGTAATATGGGTTGTTTTAAAATTATAGTAGATTGTAGTGACTTGTAAAACTCTTCATGTAGAGATGTTGAATGGCAATACATTAGAGTGCCAAACTGAATAGGCTAATGCTGTTAATGAACTGTATTTCCTTTACTGAGTAAAAGCATATAATTGTTTTATTCCATAACTTTTTTTTTTTATATATATTATTGAAGACTTTGAGTACAGACAAATATACAGTAGAGCAGCAATGGGCAAACTACAGCCCGCGGGCCGTATACGGCCCGGCGGACCTTTTAATCCGGCCCGCGGAGCTAGGCTCCCGCTAGGCTGCTCTCACAGTCCGCCCTGAAGACCAGTGTAGCATGAAAATCTGTCTCCTATGAGGATCTGCCCCCCTCGACGTATCTGCGCATGTGCCGGAGATCGCCGATCGGCTGCTAATGCCTGAAACTGGCACATGCGCAGATACGTCGAGGGGGGCAGATCCTCATAGGAGACAGATTTTCATGCTACACCGGAACGGCGCGGGAACACGGCGAGAGGAACGCGCGGAGCAAAGGTAAGTGAATTGACACGGGGGACTTGGGGACTTAATATGGGGAATGAATTACTATAGGGGGGATGAATTACTATGGGGGATGAATTACTATATGGGGGATGAATTACTATATGGGGGATGAATTACTATGGGGGATGAATTACTATATGGGGGATTAATTACTATGCTTACTATGGGGGAATATTACTATACTTACTATGGATGACACATACACATCATTCATCTACTCTTGGTCCGGCCCCCGGGTCCAATATATGAACCCATTGCGGCCCTCAAGTCAAAAAGTTTGCCCACCCCTGCAGTAGAGGCACAGTATAGGTTCACAACTAAAACCTTTACAGCAGAATGCAAAATACAGAACATAAAAAGCTAATGCAGGGAATGCAGTTTCTCAGTTGGCATGGGAAATATATTTGAAATGCTTACCCTTTCCCATGTGTTTTCGCTTTCCATAAATTATTTTCTTTTGATTTGCAATGTCCCTCTGACCTTGTTAGCAGATGTGACTATTTCAAAAGCATCATGTTCATAGCACAGCCTTGCCATCCCCTTCTAGGAGTATAAAATTACGCTCTTTGATGATGCATATTCTCCATCCCTCCCATTACCTCCCTACATATTTATTTAAGTAGCAGTCAGGAAAGAGAGAAGGGGCATGGTTAGTCTGCTGACATCACATCCAAGATGGCGGCGCCCAGCAGCAGTTTCAGGGTTTTTGGATGGCCATACAAGGGAGGCTTTTACAGGTGAATAACATGCATAAAATGGATTTAAATGCCCATATACTATGGGGAAAATGTTGAAATAATGTCAGGAGACAGGGTCTCTTTAAAGCAGATGTTTTGTGACAAGATGCTTGGATTGCTAGTTAAACAAGTATTACTAGTGGAATTCTTGTGCAGCTTTTTCTCCAGGATTTGTAAGCAAGGACTTCTAATAATATTTTTTTTCAATACATTCCAGCAAGTCTGATAATTTAGTTTTAAATTAATTTGAATATATACTACTTTAAACTGGTGAAGAGCCAGAAATCTCTTCTTTGAAATGTGGTATTTTATTTGTATTTGAGTGGAAGCAGTTCACTATGTTCTGCAGGTAATTGCCATACAAGGCAAACAAATACAGACAATACATACAAAGTTAAGCTATCACTGTATCAAGCATAGTACATCCTACTATCTGTTCTTTCTGTTCCACAGGCTTTTATGACCATTAACTAGTGTTGCCAGCTGATTGTAAACATACTTATTTGGCTCCATACACACTGGGCTTAAATAAAACACCAATTCCCTTAGCAGAAAAAAAACACTGATATGGAGTTTTTGCACACAATTTAGGAGAGTTTAGCATTTTTTTTCTGCCAGGAAGTTCAATAGACGCTAACCAGAAGGTTTTTTCCTAACTTTTATACATTGAGTTTAAGATATGCATCTAATCGTCATAATGTGCATGGACACATAGGATAACACTGAGCTGCTTCTACAGGCAAAACACAACTCCCGTAGAAGCAGGGATTTTCTATAATAGCCTTTGGATGAGTTGAGGATACACAGGATCTACCAAATATATCCCAAGCATACTGGATGGTTACTGTGTGTCTGTCATATAGCAAATCAATGAATATCTGTCCATTATATTTTTAAATAAACCTATCATAGGAGAAACATTTATGACCTCTGTGGCCAGAATACATGGCTATCACACTAACCCTCTTGCCTCACTTACTTTGACACACCCCCCAGGGGTACGCACATGGCGTTCCTGATCGCGGTAAAGGGCAAATCACTGTGATCTCATTGTAAACAGACTTGCCGGTTATCAGTAGTCATTACCTCACGTGCTGTCTCAGCGAGAGGAGAGTCAGTAACCGGCAATTCACACATGGGCCATTTACACTGATAGGCTGCAATGTTGATCAGTTCCCTGATTATCAGTGCAGCCTCATCCGCACACATCAGTGAAAGAGAAAAATTACTTATTTGCAAAAAAAATTTTTTTTTTCAAAACCTGATGATTAAATATCACCAAAAGAAAGCTCTATCTTTCAGGGACAGTGCTGAAAATTGTCCTGGGCAGGAAGTACTCAGTATTGAAGTGGTTAAGGCAAAACATTTTTTTGGATAGAGAGGGGAGGTATTAGAACACCTGTCAGTTATTGCTGTCTGTGCCCCCATTAGGGAGATCCACCCTCTTTGTCCTGTTTACCATTATTGAAAGTAAAAGAAAATCCCAAATTTTGGGTTGTCCCCAGAAAAGTAATAGAAAGATAAATATTCCAATGGGGACATTAATTCTGTGGCCTGGGGTCCCCAAGGGATTCCCTTCATTTGAGGGTATTTCCTCTCACTTCTTGTCAATGGGGTAGGAAGTGAAGGGTAAGTTCCCCAATGGGACACAGATGGCAAAAAAACTGTGGTCATAACCCTTGCTTACTCTATCCAAAATGGGGGGAGGGGTTTGCCTATAGTTCTACCTTAAGATATTCCTTATGCTGCACTGCTTTCCCATATGACTTGATGTAAATTACATGTGTCGTGATTTTTAAATTGCAGCACATTTTGAAACCGATATGCTGCATAGGAACTACTAAACTTGCTTAGTGTAAAATAAGGAACCCTTTTTTTTTTTTTTTCCTGCTTCTAAATAGTGTTGCAGTGTGAGGATGATGGTACTTTTCAGACAACAGTTCTGGAGACTTGGTACCATTGCTACACACCTCTTGTCTGCTCTTTGGACTACTAGTGAAGATCACTACGCTGGTAATTCAGACTTGAGTTTTTATCTTCATGAAAGCTCCTTTCCCTCCCTTACCCACAGTGTGCCAACTGTGAGACTGGTTTTAGCTCTCAGTTGCCGTGTAGCTATTCTATATACTGTAAAGCCGGGTTTCAGGTATTTAAAGTAATTGTGGATTCTGAAGTGATACTTAAGGCAACCAAAGCATATGTTATATATGAAAGTTATTTAATGGGAACCCATCACAATAGAAATGTTAGGACTGCCATTGCTGGCTTACCTTTTGAAAATAGGAGAAGAACTCTGTTAATGCAACTATCGTTCATGACAGATTTCATAGAAGGCAAGATTAGTCCTCCAGGTCTGTAATCGTATCCTTTCTATGCTACTTAGTTCACTGGCAACATGCTTGTTTGAGGTCTGTCGGTCACTATTAGTCACACACACAGAACTAGCATGCTGTCATTGAATAATCGGCAACAAGCAGCCTGGTCAATGACTAAGGGGTAAGGAGGACAGACCTGGTGCTTGCACTAAATGTCAGCAATGGTGACTCTTTTGTTTCATGTTTTGATGCTAATACATTCTCCTTAGCAGGTTCTTAAAGACTAACCTGTTGCTCGTGTATCTCTACATGAATATAGTAGTGGCAACTACCCATTTATAAAATGATGGTTCCTTTTGACTCACATCTGTATAGATCCAGGGGCTTATGCACAAAAAGTGTGCTAACAGAAGATTTTCTTGGACCAGATCAATATCCCAGGAGTTTAATTTACTTGATGCTATACTCTGATTAAAAAGTGTTCCTTTATTTTTTTTTTTTTTTTTTTGAGCAGGGTAGAATAGTATACCTCTTCTGTGATTAAAAAAAAGAATAAAGCATTCATTTGGTATTCTTTTGTTTTTAGTTACCAAGCTGTGGAGAACATGAGAATGGGAGCTGATCCCACCACTGCCTGCCGGAAAGCTATTGCTAGAATCCAGAAACATGTCCCAGTGTTTTTTGGAGCTATAATATGTGCCAACCACACAGGGAGTTATGGTAAGTTTATCCGTATACTCATTGGGTTTTACATAAAATAAAGTTCAAGTCTCCCATTCTGAATGTTCATATTTTACATTTTCAGCTTGGAAGTTTTTACAGACCTCCTGGGGTGTTTTTTTTTCATACCATTTATTAGAAAATGGAATATTGCCTAACATATCAACTACTAACTATATTTTTATTTCTGCCAAATTCTGATCCTGGCTGTGTCTCTTTATGACAGTTCCCAGTGAGGATAATGGGTCTAAAGCTGGCAATACACTGCGCAAACTTCAGCCATTCCCTGCTCACCAGAATTTAATTGTTTGAGCACCTTCTGATGAAGGCACGTGTGGTAAATCTGTTTTGATCAGCGGCAGTAGCCGCTGATGTGTGTAGTTTCTCAGCAGCTGGTTATGGACAGTGGTAGGCGCATCTCCGTGTAGTGGTTATTAAAAACATTTACTAAAGTAGACAATTGGCAACTTGCAAAATACACGGTGATAAACTGGCAGGTAAGTGTGAACACACACGTCAGCCTCTGGGGGTGAATCTTCTCACAGCAGGACATGTTTCCTCAAGTTATTTCTAGCATCTGGGCTTGTTATAACATGGATGAATCAGCCTCACACTGGTCCGTCAGTCTCGCACCTCCTCCAGAAACAGGAAGGCCAGGCTGGGTTACACAACAGCTAGGTTCCTGTTGAAGTCAATGGAAGCCAGGGACAGCAGACTAGGTGTAGCAGTACAGCAAAGGAAGACCACAAGACCAGATGCTGGAATTCCTTTGAGGAAGCATGTACTGCTGTGAGATGATTTACCACCAGAGGCTGACATGTGTTCACAATTAGATGGCAGTTATCACTGTGTATTGTGCAAGTTGCCAATTGTCTACTTATAGTGGTATACTTACACATGCCTAGTGAAGTGACTAGCCTCAGGTGATACACGGTGATGAAACACATCCTCCTACATACAGTAGGTTGTACCTATTTATCTGCAGTCTTCTCTTCTCTACATCCATTGAAAGTGCAGAATTTACACAGGATATCTCAGATCTGAAATGCAGGGGGGGGGGGGGGATGTAGTAGGGAACTGAGAATTCCCTCTCCAGAGTTCAGTGAGGAGAGCTCTGAGAGCTGATTGGAGGGAAGATACACACCCCCTTCACACAGCTTACAGGAACAGAGCTGAGGCTGTCAGTCATAGGCTATGCCCTCCCTGTCACCATTTTTTTCTCGGTGTCAGGAAAACTTGTCAGAAGTGACTCATGCTGATAGTAGCGGAAATGAAGCAGCAGACAGAAATGACACTTGGTGCTCTGGATTGAGACAAGTACACATTATATATGAAAATGCTTTGTTCATATTTCATTCCTGAGGCTTACATCTAGAGCCGTTCCATAATCTTCCATGGCCACTCTCCTTGGGATAGAGATCTATTTTCACCCCAGCCCCATAATCTCCACACCTATATTTTACAGCATTTGGTACAGCTATTAGAATACAATGTGCCAGAATGGGTAATTCCTCATTCCATCTCGTTTGTGTGGTTGGAGGAATGATAAAAAAAAATAATGGTATATGGCTAGCTTTTTCTTTTATCCTTGTTGGACTCCACTGTTTAGTAACACTTTAAATTAATGTCTTTACAAACACAACAGTAATAGTAATGGCTTTACAAACACACAACCATAAAATCAGTCTGTATATGCAGTAAAGCATGCTTGTTGTACTCACTGTGGTACCTAAGGGGTTAATCGTCTGCATTGTGTAAAAACTGATCCTGACTTCTCTGATCCTCCCCTTCCAGTGTCCCCCTCTTATCTTCTGATAAGACATATTGTGTGGCGACACTCTGAGCATGCTTAGTTTGGTGTGTATTGCTAGAGGTTTTTTTTTTGTTTTGTTTTTTTTTTCCCTGGGGAGAGTGCATGTGCTCAGCATAAAGCCAATCAGCACTGTCCAGACAGAGGTCAGGGGTTCTGCATTTTTCTAGAGCAAAAAAAAAAAAATCCTCCTACAAGCTTCAACCAGTGCTCAGCTGGACACTGCTAGAAGTCACAAGACTGCTATATACTGCTGATGAGAAAAGGTATTTAGCAGTTTATATTTACTAAAATAATTGCACTTCCATGTTCTGTGTACTGTGGGAGACCAGATATAACACTAATGGGTTAGTTCATCTTTACAGAAAAAACTGGATAAACACCCTTCCCACTACTTCTGGGGTTGCTGAGCTGTCAGCACACCTGCAGCTGCTCCAGCGGTCTGGTCATTTGAAATCTCCACTCTTCTCCCACTTCTCCATCAGCACTTACAGCACAGACCACATTCTGATTGGTCAGCACCATTACCACCATCACTGATGTTCTGAAAATGGTAGTTGCCTGGCTATCATACTAATCCTCTGCTTCAGTATCACGCACAGATAACAATGATACTACCTAGGAGTTCTCAAGTAATCTTTTGGATAACAGTACAAGTGTAGAAACACCCTCACGGCCAATGGCCTAGTCCCGGGAATGGTATACCTGGCGATGCCTAACCCTTAAAAGGGGGGTGCATCCAAAAACCAATGCTCCACTGAAAAAAAACCCAAAAAAGGATATAGCACCTCAAAGGCTAATCCGCAGTATAAATTTATCAAGCATGTAAAAATTATATAACCTGTATTGTATAATCATACAATGCACGTACCCTATTCCTATCTGCCCCTCCCTGCACTCTACCCCCCCCAATCCCCCCAATGTCATCCCACATATCCCTCCCTAAACCAGAACACTGAGGGGTAATGCGCCACCCCTCCCTATAATCCCTAAAGTCCCCCTATCCTATGAGAATGGATCAACTCCCCCAGAAAGTCCCTCTGTAGCTGTGCTTATAAAAGATGAATGGTATATGTGGACATGTGGATCTGGCTGAAAGGAGAAGTCCCAGTATGTATGCACTGAGTATCGCTTTACAGCAGGAGGAGAGAGCAACAGAAAAGGCAACCTGAATTCCTCCAAATATGTGTAACTCGTAGCTGGTGTAGATATGCTCCTTATCCTCAGTAACATCTCCAAACCCTTGCAAGCTGGTCATCTGACAGGCACAATCCAGATCCAGCCTACCAATGACGGATAGCTGATTGACTCTGTGTGCCTATAAACTGCTATTTAGAAATCTTGTACCAGCATAGTAGTAATGAATGTAAAACAATCTCACCATGTGAAGACAGCAAATATCCTTGCATATACTCTCAGTGGATGGATAATACAATGTCCATCAGTATGTAGCAATGTCCATATGTAGGTCCAGGTCATGCCAAGTGCCAAGCTAAAGTGTAAAACCCTTTTTAAGGCCCGTTGTCCTAAACAATACATCACATATCAATACTGTTGCCTGTATTGCAACCATTTTGTCTGCGTATTATCTGATTATATATTTCTCATATAAGAGGAGACATTTAAGTTTGTTGCAAGTTCCTTTACAAAGAGTTATGTTTAACAAGTTCCTTTAGCAAATCTGCAGAAATCCCTATTACAAATCGCTCACTGTAACGATGCATAATTATGGAACATGGCGTTTGACTCTAGCTTTGTTTTGCATAAATATATAGATGGGCCTCAAACTTCAAAGCAATCAAAGATCAGTCATTGTGCAGGATGTCTCATTAGTATGGTTTAGTTCAGCAGTAGTACAATTTACCGATCAATAAGACTTATTAGCTTAGACTGCTTATTTCATACTTTGATCTTTTACTTCCCACAGATACGTGTATGTGAGATTAGACTTGGAGAAGCTCATTACTCTTTAATCATTAAGTTGCAGGATCTTTTTTTTTTTTTTTGTTTCGAAATACATGAATAGTTTGAGTTGCATTTTATGGTTAAATATGCTATACACAGTATGGGTGTTGTGTGGGTCAAGAGGGCATTTGCTTTCCAATAGAAGAAACATTCTAGTAAGCAAAATATTTCCACTAGGATAAAATGTTCTATATGATACTTTTCCTTTGAAGAAAAGTTGAAATTAAAATATTGTCTGTCAAATGAAGGCATAAAAATATTATATAACGCTAAAGCTAAACAATAGTCAGTGGTCTCCAAACTATGGCCCGGGGGGGCTGGATGTGGCCCTTTGCCTTTACCTGGCCCTTGGGGCACTATTCCTCCCATTCCACTGACCCCATCGATGGGGCACTATGGGGGGCACTATTCCCCATCATTCCACTGACCCCATCGATGGGGCACTATTCCCACTGACCATCGATGGGGCACTATGCTTCCACTGACCCCATCGATGGGGCACTATGCCTCCTACTGACCCCATCGATGGGGCACTATGCCTCCCACTGACCCCATCGATGGGGCACTATGCCTCCCACTGACCCCATCGATGGGGCACTATGCCTCCCACTGACCCCATCGATGGGGCACTATGCCTCCCACTGACCCCGTCGATGGGGCACTATTCCTTCCATTCAAACCAGTGATGGTGCGTTGTTTATGCCCACTAATGTGGCATTTGTTTTACTCCTACTGACCACAGTCCGGTCCACCTAAAGTCTGAAGGACAGTAAACTGGCCCTTTGCTTAGAAAGATTAGAGACCCCTGCAATATAGTGGGTTTGCTGCATACAAGGCACCATATGCAGTGTTTATTTTCTCTGTGTTCCTACAGAAAAAAGAAAACTACATTGAGGCTAGATTCACTTGTGAGGGGTTCTGCATGCACCATTTGTTTGTCACAGGAAAAAGTACCTGAACCATTTTTTAAAATGCAGCCATACAGAAACTGCATATTGTTTTGGCACTATGCGTTTCTGCATGCAAGAAACTGCATAGGTTTTTCAGTGCATTGGGGTACCACTAACAGTTATTGGCACATCTGCATGTTTTCCTAAAAGCAGCGTGCTTGTGTGTGGCTGCTTGCAGGAACATGTGCGATTTTTACACACATCACAAATGTGAGCCTAGGGCAGCACAGTGGTTAAATGGTTAGCACTTCCTCCTGGCAGTACTCGGGTTGTTG